CCGCATTCGACTTCCATTCAGAACCGAAGTGAATTTCTGAATGCGTATGTGACCTGTACACTAAATTGCGTGATCAGCCCATGTACAGTTCAGTGCTTCTACCCCTTCGTACCAATTAACCGTCCCGATAGGAATGAAAGGCTTGGTTGGCCTAAGCGCATATCGACCTGGGATTTGAACCCGTAACCACGCATGAGTGACAGCGTGTCACTTGCCACTACACCGTTTACCGGATAGCCACCGGAATTGTAGAAGTGAAGCCTCTAGCCACTAGGGATTACCGCCTGACCTGACTTTGCAGAGCATTGCAATCGTTGCAACTTTTAAAGTACCTGTTCGATGAAACATTTCCAGATGGTGTGATCTGGGGTTGAAAATTAGCAGCGTGATTCATCCTTTCGGGAAGTATGAGACCTTTCTTGGCCTTGTGTTACCGGGTGTTATGATTTTTAATGAAAAAGTTACCGGATGTTACGATTTTCAATGAAAAAAACCTCATCTAGCTTTCTCAAAACATAGGCAATTCAGGCAAAAAGGCACTTGCATACATAGCTACTTGTTACCCACTTCCATTCCACCCACCTTTTTTGATACCATGACCAGTTCTGTACAGACCAAAGAATCTATGCTATGCAATGTTTGAAATTCTATTTGAAAAGAGCCGACACAGGTCCCGCTCGTAGCCTTTCTTCGACGTTTTTTGGAGCCTTGGACAAACAGCTTCGCCTAGGGTCAGAGACCGTTAGCGAAGTGAAAGACGCATCCCAAATCGCCTTTAAAGAGCTTATCAAGAGATGCAGTGAAAAAAACCTAAAAAATATCGTTTTAATTCGGAATTAACCTTTCATCATGGTGATTAACGAATGATAGTCGCGAATCCAGTTTTTGAGTTGAACGAAAGGAAAAGGAAAATTTTGAAATTCAGCTCACTATATCCTCCTTTTTTATCATTTAGCGATCGTCCGAATATTGTTGTTATAAGCACATAAACGGCTACAAAAAGGCCGATTCCTTGATATTCTGTTCTGTGGCACACACCGATGCACAAAAAACGAGAGTCTTGATTTAGTTCAAAGATCGGTCAAAGCTCTCAAAATAGAAGCATCCGTCCGGATTCATTCTTATGCCTTAATTCGTTAAGGCGGAGGTGGTGTAGTGGCAGGTGGCGCCCTATCACACACCCATGGTCACGAGTTCAAATCCCAGATTGATACCCGGATAGCGCGCCACCTGCCACTGCACATAGGTTGGCCACCACAAGTCATCGTATAGGCCACATCGCATTCAGAAACGAAACCATCTATCTGAATGATATTTGGAAGATTTTATAACTTATCTTTTTATTTTATTCTGTCCATGTCGAATCCGAAGGAATATCCCAAAAAAGAGATCGACTAACATGAAAGGCATCACTTTATCTTACCAGAAAAGGATAAGGGGTTCTCGTGAGTTCAGAGGGGTGTCTTCTATTCTTTGTGCTGGATGATACAATGTTCGGCTGCTTCCAGAGGAGCATTAACTTTCCTAGTGCGTAGTACAAGAGTATAGTTGGAGAGCAATACTGTACCGGGTGGAGGTCAAGGACACGATGCGCCCCAAAGAGTATTAATGTTCACTACTTTCCGTAGTACTACCAATACCCATAGGTACCCATAGCGCCTAGTCGCAAGTAAACCAGTTTTCTATGACTGGTACCTGAATGTTTGGCACCTGTCATCATACCAAGAGGGACGTCTCAGAGCATCTTGTAACTGTGCTGACGGTAGAATTAGCAAAATCATCATTCCTTCCGGACGACTATAAGCACAGCGCCCACATTTATTTTCATCGAGGAAATCCGTTGACCCTCTGACCGCCACCCTATCTGCCATATCCAAAACATTTTATTTGCTTTCATCTACAGATTTCGAAGAGCGGAAATCATGGGCTTCCTCTATGTCTCTTTGTACCGGCTATCTGACATTCGTTGCAAACTCGAAATGAATTTTTCACACTAACAAACCACGAATAAGGCTATGGATTCGAGGACCCCCAAAATCCTATAAAATTCATGGCTTTCGAATTGTATGAGGTCTTTCAATGAATCGCAATAGGTTTAGTTTGTTTTTTTTTCGTCGTCGGTGTCCTCTTCACGTCCACTTCGTCACTCGCGTAAAGTAGCCTCTGAGAGAAATTCCGTATGATTCCGGAAAAGCCGGTACCCATACAAAAGCCCCCGACGAGGATGATTCGGTGATGATTCAGCTCTTGATGATGCAGACAATATTATGTGTAAACAATGACGTGGCGTTGGTCACCTTCTCTGAAACTCGTAAACAATCAGGAGCAAACCAATCTTAGCGGTCAGATCAGAACCAGAACATATGATAGTTTTGAACACGACAGAAGTTGAGCTATAACTAAGATACACAGACCTCCGAGCAGTAAAACTCCATTCCCACGCTACCGTATTTAGTTGATGGATGGTGAATAATGATGGCATCCTGTCTTGTGGTTCACCCACGCAATTAGCTTCCAACCAGGATCGTTGCGGCATTTGATTGGGCACTTTAGAAACGGTACCCTGACAAAAGCTCCGATCCGAATCGAACTCCCATTTAAGCCATAGTTGGCAAGACGAGTATTCATTCAGTACTCTGCATTCCCTGGGCGTACGGGTAGTACCTGCTCTATTTGGCCCAATGCTAGCTCATTTAATGCCTTGAAAGTCTCTCTGTTCCATTCGTTTCAACTTAATTCCTTTTATTGCTGAAAAGAATCTAAGAGTATGTACTTACATTTACAACCCTCTTTCCTTTTGGACAAAGGGTTACCCAGATCAAGGTCAATCTGGATGAATGAGGCACGAGCTTGTCGCGGGATTGTTTCAGAACTTACAGGCATAAAATAAGTTGTGCACACGACTTTTTCTGTGCCACCCAACACAATCTATTGCGCCCGCTAACAGAGATTTTAGCGGCGCGGAGTTTCATCAACGGAAGAGGACCGGTCCATGTGCGCATCGGTCAAATGCAAATTCAAGACGGACAGGGAGATCGTCCTGGAATGTCCTTGTGACGCAGTGGCTTTCATCAGCAAATAAAGGGCGTGTTTGTTTTGCAACGTTATCTTGGCTATCTTCATTAAATTACTTAATCCTATTCCCTGAAGGCTGGAAACCCCACTCAAATGTGAATTCACGTAAGGACGGTATATCATCCGTGGTTGGTTTGTCAAACGAAGGTTCTGAGCCTTGCAATTTTGGAGGTGCTAACGTAGCAGATACCATTGACCACAAGCTTAGGAAAAATCGTAGATGGATGAGTTGGAAGGAGTCCATCATCTATCGACATCGCTTTAGGATGCTCAAGTAGGGGAACACTGGAAAATCGCTAATCCTACATTGCTCAACGACTGCCAAAGCGGATATGAAGAGCATAACGGGTCAGCTATGCAGATGGAACGATTAAGCAAGGCCATAATAGAAAATAAGATCTGGGGTGTTGTGCATTAGGAACGAAATGGTCGCGTCGCGGCGAGAAGGGCGTCGCGCGCGATGGAATGTAGCAGGATGCAGCAGTAGGTAAGAAATACAAGANAATGATCGCATATCGAATGAGCTGTATGGAGAACGCTAGAGCTGTAAAAAAGGCGAATGAGTGGTCCGCGTGCGGCAAATCGATCACCCAAAATCGTTCCTAACGCCCGTCTCCCACTGTTCCCCTTTTCCTTGACAACCTCCCGTTCGTAGCAGCGACTGCCGATGATTGGCTGAATTCGACAGCGTTTGTGGGAATGACGGTTTACAATTGAACAAACCTAGCGAAGCCAATGTTCATGAACAACGGATGGATTCAGATGCTCCAGACACGTTGAATGGAGGAAAGATCATTAAAACTGTTAAACTGTCTCTGCTAACTGTGTTCGGGTCATAAATAAGCATAAAGGACCCCACCCCAAAGCAGAGCAGGAGGAGCACCCATCTGAAGGTCATTATATCAAGAAATGAACTCAGTCTAACGTGTTAGTCCTTGTTATATTAGCAGTGCATCGTATGCGTAGAGGATGACCGACCACCTTAGCTCTTTCATGCGGTTTCACCTAAGGACATTCAGTTTCCCAAATAAGCCTGGGTGGGTTGGGAGCACCTGGGTGGCTGGGATGATTACCTCCTGCAAAAAAAAGGAAAAAAAGAAAAGTTGCCCACCGCCGTGCCCCTTTCCTACGAACGCCCTTATTTAAAAATTGGCATGTCCGTGATATAACACGGCATAACGCGTTTCATTGAGTCATTTCCTGATATACTAGCCTTTGAATGGGTGCCCTGAATGAAGCTTCAAATCCCCCACGCTGTGACTTCTACTAGGCAATATCCATGACAGAAGGAAAGCCTCATTCTCCATCTACTTCAGCAGATGTCCCAAACACGAGCGGACCTGTTTTGTGGTGTGCCGACGCTTTATCCTCGATTATATGCTCGGTAGGGATGAAGGCCAACCACTCGAGGGTGAAGCCGATCTACAGGCACTGTTTATGTCAGCGCGTAGGAAACGACCATGCCATCCAAAGCAAGCTTCGGGCAACCCATCAACAATGGTTACGAAATACACCACCAGAAAAGAATCATGTTAAGGTAGAGAATCGAAAAATTCGTCAATCGATAAATAACATTTGATGTAATCAATAAAAGTTCACACACTATTGACCGTATGCACATTATTCGGGTTTTAGGTGAAATACCATCATTTTTCGCAATACAAATATTTATTATTTAGTATAACAATGACCAGTTTAAGAGAAATGGCGGGCAATATACTAAACTTCGGATGCTACGAAAAAAACAATATAAAAGTTCAAAATGTTAACTTACAATAAATACTAATATTCCCGAAAATCTTCTCCAAAAATCCTGTGAAGGCTACAATTACAAGGATCGCTCCCATATCGTCTGCAATTTTAAAATGTAGTCGCTCTTTCCTACTCAGTCGTCCAGTACATCAAGGAGTTCACTCCCTACCTAGATGGACATCCGATTGAGGCTGCTCTCAGACGAGATCGTCGTATGCGTCTTCAGCCTCTATTGCCTCAATGAGCTCTTGAGATTTGTCGTCTATGTCATCGAGATCGTCATTCAACATCCATGCCCGAAGGGTCAGAACCTCTTGAAGGACGCTATCTCTCCAAGTGTGGGCTACAGGTGTCTTGAAAGTCAACGTCGTCTTTCCTCGTGGACCATCACGCTCCTCTACCTTCTCCACTTTTCTGTCCCCGTTCAGTTCGGCAAGCCTCAGCGTATTCAGGTGCATCTCAGCCATCTTCATGAACACCGGGTAAACGAATGGAGGACTGAAAAGAGTAATCAAAATACTGAATAGTCAATACTGAAGGACATAAAACTTTACCGTAACAAATAGGTAGCATACTTACTAATTGATATCTCTCCTACAGTAAATCCTATACAAGGCGTTTTCAAGCTGACGTATGGGTACACCTCCAGCCGGACTGGCCTTCACCAAATCCCGCTGGAATCGTTTGTTCAGCACTACATCTCGGAAGCTTCTGAGGGCATTATCTTTCAGCCGGGAAACGCCAGAAGCCTCTAGGTGACCATTGGCGTTGTCGCTGGTGGTTGCAGAGGAATCGGTCTGAAACAATCAGTTCAACTCCGTAAGTGCCACCACAATAGACAACTAGACAGCTATACCAACCGGTTGGTGTTCCTCAATCGTATCGTAGCGTTCGTCCGTTACTTGTCTCAGGCATTCATTGAATCGGTGCGGCACTTCTGAGCTGAATTTAGGCGACCATTCAGCTGCACTCCAAAGAAGCGTTTTCACTTCTTCTATCCATGGTAGAATCGAAGAACAGCCTTCTTTCTGAGCCGCCTATATAGCAAAATTTTGATCAAGGAAAGGAGAGAAGAATGAATGTTTATCGTGGTGCTTTACAGGCCACAGTATCAATCTAAGAGTCTCTGCGCTCAGCAGTATGCGAGGACAGCGCTACGGCACCACTGCAAAGGCATAAAAACCTTAAATTTCAAGGAAATCTCATAAACCCGGACAGGATGCTTTTCGGCTGCCGGAACGGAATGCCATACATATGCACGCAGGCAACTACTGTAGCCAGCTGTACGCAATAACACGCATGTTTAAAAATCTCGGCCGAATACCCATTCCATGCAAGTTTTGTTGTCACATATCCGTCCAATCCAAGAATTTGCTTCTCTTTCAAAGCCCTACATTTCCCTACATACGCCAATTCCCCCGTTTTCCTGGCCTTTTTTGCACTATTTTGGACTAACTCTTCCATTACTCGTCTAAATTAAGGTACCTCATAATCACCATGAGCTGTGTTTTTGATTTAATCAGATATCCATTTTCTCGCTCACTTAACTGTCGAGACAGAAAAAGAAAAACATTTTGAAAAAAGATAAACAGAAAAGAAAAGCTCACGTTATACTCGTGCAACTTATCCAGGAAATTTAACCCACATATACACATATTCTTTTCAGATGACAAAAAGAGGTAAAGAAGGTCCAACAGCCGAGGGATGCGCCCCCGTATTCAACTTCCATTCAGAATCGTGGAGGTGGTTTGAAGCGTGTGTGGAATATATTTCACAATGTTTTGCAGTGGCCAGCCGATGTACAAATCAGCATTTTAGGTATCCCAGATAAACCTGCAGCTAAATTACCGGCCCGTAGGGACAGAAGACTTCGTAGGACTGGGCGAGTACCGGTCAAAGAATCGAACCGTGGACCGTGCATGCGATATGGTGTCCCAGTTACCACAGCACCAACTCCACCCTAATCAACTCCTTATTAACACTGTTTAAAGAGGCATTTGAAGTGATCTGGTAATTACGCTCGTTAAACTTTGTGTTTTCAGTCTTACAGCCAACAAAAGCGTGACAAAAACGTCAGTAATATTTAAAAGAGGTGCCTATTCAATAGATCACAGAAAATAGTTTCAAATGAGAAAGCCGAACCTTTCGGAGTTCATTTTCCAGCCATTTCACCAGAAGCGATGTGTCATAAAGATGTAGGACACGACCCAGTTGTGGTTCCATGTTTCTCAGCGGTACTGCGAGAGCAGGATTACGATTGGTAGCCAGTGAATACACTGGCAACCTCTCTCTCGAAATCCACTGAAGTAAACGGTTCAATGCCTCCACATCTACTCGGCCACTAATTTTGTCTGAAATGGAGTATTTGACGAAGCTTGAGTATTTCTGTTTACTCACCAGTACCTGACTCAGAACGATGAATAAACTCTGTGTGCAAGATGAGTTTTGTACGAGTATCACTGAGGACGGCTTTGCCAAGAAGTGACGACTGGTCCCCTCTGCTGACGCTTCCATTGGCTGCCAAGCACAGTCTCTCGCCACGCTGATACAAAGGACTTTGGAAGATTGCAACAGGCCTGTCGGGTTGTGGGAAATACCTCATAGGACTCTTGTACGACCTTCATTACATCTCTTCGATGCATGTTGTAGACTTGCTCGATGGCCGTCTTCGTCCATTGGAAGACCTTCCAGAAGAATGCTTTCGTGAAGAAGGATAGGTTCAATTGTTCAGCCCACCGTTGCAACTCCTGAAAACAAAATACCCACGAACCTAACCACAAATTCACCGAAACAGAATCATGGTTACCGTATATCTGAGGCCAGTCGTGATAGCTGCCACTGCGGCTTCCAGGTCACCCATGTAGGTCTTCTCCTTCTTATGTTCCACAGCTCGGCGCTGACTTTCCCATCGTCTCACATGTGGGTATCGTAGCGAACAGCTCGAGCAGACGTACCGCATTACCGCCGCAGTACCGGCAGGACACAGACGACTTTTGGCCAATTTCTGACCACATTGCGGACAAAATTTGAACAGTTTCGTCAGCATTTCGCCTTCAATCAAAAAGTATTGCTTGAGAAGCGCCGGATCCGTTGCGTCCAGTTCTGGAACATGCATGGAAGACGATTCTGCTGAAGATCCCGGCGAGTCTTGTGTTGGATCTTCGGGGTCAATCTGAGTTCTTGGTAATATACGTCAGTGAGGTTGAACAAAGAGCACGTCTACTCACCGCCATCACATCAGAAGAATCGAGGTCCTGTTTCACGAACAAAGCCCCGGTTACAGGTTTCACGTCCGTCAGAACTGGACACGACGTCCCACTGCTAAGTTCTTCGGGAGCGTCGACACATTCAATCTTCGGCTGCCGGAACGGAATGCCATAACCACTGTCACTCCCCACCTGACTTTCTTGCTTCATAACGTCCATCTGGGAACAAACATTTTAACGATCTAATCATTCCCGATATCAGAAATATTTCACTCCAAGACCCACCAATGTTCGCACAGGTTCGCTTTGTTTCAACGACTGCTGCACAGCTTCTTTGCTGTCGCAGTCGTTACTTTCAAACANTATCGTAGCGAACAGCTCGAGCAGACGTACCGCATTACTGCAGCAGTGCCGGCAGGACACAGACGACTTTTCGCTAGTTTTTGACCACATTGCGGACAAAATTTGAACAGTTTCGTCAGCATTTCGCCTTCAATCAAAAAGTATTGTTTGAGAAGCGCCGGATCCGTTGCATCCAGTTCTGGAACATGCATGGAAGACGATTCTGCTGATGATCCTGGTGAGTCTTGGGTTGGATCTTCGGGGTCAATCTGAATCCTTGGAAATATAGTTTCTTGGGTTGAACAACAAGGACTTCAACTCACCGCCATCACATCAGACGAATCGAGGTCCTGTTTCACGAACAAAGCCCCGGTTAC